GTGACGGGAAGTTACCCCCTGGTTCTCGAACTGGGGTCCCCAGACAAGAGCCTTCGCGGCACTAGGCCAGAATGGCAGATTCTCAGGCCCCCAGGGGACTGATACACCCTTGGAGGGGAGACCCCTGTCTGTCATGAGGAGGGATGAGAGCGTTAAGGCAAGAAATGAAGAAATGCCAGGAGAGGGAGGACGGGCTACCTGTGGGCAGGGGAAGGAACCCACAGAGGGACTGGACACCCCTTTAGTGGTCAGCCCTGTTGGTGGCAGCTCTCCTAATCACCTGGGTCACTCTATCTCCTGTGCGACCACTGTCTGTCGTCCTGGGAGCCAGCCCACCTCTGGCCAGGGCTCAGGGTCCAGATGCCAGTGAGTGCTGAGATGTCCGACAGGTGTTTGGGGGTCTGGCTGTAAGTCAGCAGGCTGGCTGTCTGCCCGAGCTCAGGTCTCAGACCAGCCTCAGTCACAGTGGTCAGCGGGCACTGCTCTCTGGCCTGGTGCCAGCTGCTGCCCGGGGTAAGCCCAGGAAGCCATGTTAGACCAGCTTCCTGGAACTGGCACAGCCTGCTAGCCGCTTCCTTTTTATCTCAAGGCCCGTGGCAGAGCTCTGGGTCAAATGATACTCGTTGGCCTGGCAACTCGGCCCCTCCCGGGCAGTTTCTGACAGCCAGACCCCACCTGAGAGAGGCAGCACTGCTCATAGGTCTCAGACTGCCTTCGCCCCAAGAATTGGCCCTTTTTATCAAGGACCCTAAAAACTTGTGTAGAAACACCACCCAGGTGGGGAAGCAGAGAGAGTGGAGTATCTCAAGTCAGACTGGTGGGTGGGGACCCCCAGAACACATCCTGCTCAGGTCAGGGAGAGTCCCAGAGGCTTTACCCAACAGGGTCCCGAGAAATAACAGGCAGAAGGGAGGAGCCATGTGCGCCATCGAGTTTGTGCTCAGCCAGTGTCCTAGGCTCTTGTGGTCCTTGGAGGATGTGCTGCCTGCCCTGCGGTCTGCGGGTGACTGATCAGAACCGAGCCACCCAAACAGGCCAGCATGGAGTTGGACCTCACCGCTGAGGCCAGTGGGGGAGAGCAGGAGGCCCAGCCGAGGGGTCTTTCTTCACTGGGCAGCACTTCAGCCTTTGCGGCATCCCCGACATGAGGACGGGGTAGAAGCGGAGCCACCACAGGAGGAGGTGGGCAGGAGCCTCTCGGCAGAGGGATGGTGACTTTGCAGCCCAGCGCTGGGATTCCGGCCCCTTTGCTGAGGTGGAGCTGGATGCCCCTGTGGCCCGCTAGGAGGGTCATGTTACAGCCGGACAGGAAGGGGCAAACCAGAGGAGGGCTGTGGAGTGAGCCAGCAAGGGGCCTGGGCTTTATCTCCTCTGTTCCAGCTGTCACGAGCCAGCCATGCTTATCTGGGGGTGCCGGCTCAGAGAGCCCTGGAGAGGGCTGGCTTCTAGCCAGAGTGCCCTCCTGGTAACCACCCACTTTTATCAGAGGTTGGCGCCTGTGCCTTGGGGTATCCCATTCTCTCCCTGACTGCAGCACAAGCACTTTCTCCTAATCCCCCTTCCTGGAGGGGCTGCAAGTTAGTATCCGTGGTAACAATAGTAACTCCGCACACCCACAACCTTCCAATGTGCCCGTGAGATGACCCCCCCCCCCTCCGTGAGCCCCCATCCTGCAGGGGTGGAAACTGAGGCTCAGAGGAGGCAGGCATCTTGTCCAGGTGGTGGGGTTGAAAGCAGGGAAGCTGGGCTGCAATCCAGCCCTCAGCCCCTCCCTTTTAACTTTTGTTAAACACACTGCGTCCTGGTGGGTTCGCCTATTTACCTAAGATAATGTTTCATGTAGGACATTTTAAAAGGGAACACTTTGAGAACAATAAAGTACTTGTTTACTCATCAGCCAAAGTCAATGAAAAGTAAGATTTCATCATGTGTTTTGGTTCTTTTTACAAAGAAACAATTATTTATAAAGTTTCCTTTGTTCCACGATCCGGGCCCCGTCCCCTCCTAGACTCTGGCCGCCTGCTCACTGCCTGTCCACAGTCTGGCCATTTTCAATGTCCTGGGCTGGTACTGCGTTGGCGGGGAGGGCCTCAGTGCAAAGGGGCTCTGATGCCTGCTGTGCAGGGCTCGGCACATTCTGGCCGGGAACAGCTGGGTTGGATCTTGGAATGGGCTGGTGTGTGCCCTTTGGTACCAATGGAGGGTCTTCTGGGTGTCAGAGGAGGGGCCTCTGTCCCACCCTAGTGACAGCTAAGACCCCCTCAGTATCAGTGACCCACAGTAGAACAGCCCACGGGCTGGGGGCTCAGGGGTAGCATCAGAGCCCTCATCAGTGAAATGCAGAGCTGCCCCTGCTCACCGAGTGGAGAGAGCCCAAGTGGGGTGAGCTGAGCTGAGCAGAGGCGACCGCCTGAGCTGGCTGACTGGTTCGTGGGCCCAGGTCCAAGTGCCGGCCGCGAAGAGAGGACCGGCCTGTCTGAGCGCTGGTGGCCGGGAAGTGCCACCTCAGGATGCAGAGAGCTTAGCCACACCTTCGCGTCTGTCTGCCCTGCTTCCCTCTGGCGGGCGTGAATGGAGGAGTGATGCAATCGGCCAGCCTCTTGCTGCAGCCGGACACAAGGGCTGTGGGAGGGGAAGCCTGAGGCACTTAATTCAGGATTGACTCTCACATAAGGAAATGGCAAGCTCTCTCTGGAAAGCCTTGGGGCCCCGGGGCAAGAAGGAACAGATTAGAGCCTGGGTTTGCCTTCCATCCCGGATCCCAGCCACTTGGCAGATGGGACCAGTGAGAACTAGACTGGAAGCCCAGAAAAAGGGAATTACCCTCCTCTCCCCACCCACACTGTCAGTCCTGTGGGGATGTCAGAGGGCCCCAGAGACCTGGGTCTCCCCATCCCACCTTGGGCAGGGGCGTTTCTGTGAGCCTGTTTTCTCTTCTGTGCTTGGAATGGCAGCGCGGACATGCATGCTTAATCCAGGACAGCTCTCCCCTCATGGGTCCTGAGGGCCAGGACTGCGTACGTGTCTACCCGGAGCCACATAATGAAGGCCATGGGTGCTGTCTGCCTCACGTACCCCTCCACCCTCTCCTCTGAGCCTTTCAGCTGCTGCTGCCAGAGGCGTCTGCAGCACTATGTCACAGGCACTTCTGTCACGAGCCCCACGTTGTCATGGCCTTATTTAAACTCCCACCACCCCAAGGCAGCTCATCTTACTAGGAGCCAGGGGGCTCCACCAGGGTCCCCACCAGTAAGGGCCACACCAGGTCCTGGTGTCACAACTCTCAGCTGTCATACCTGGTACCGGGGTGCTTCTGAGTATTTCAGATTAGGAATAGCAGCCTAAAGCAAATACTTTCAAAGCATTTTCAGCCTGAACATAACACACAGTCTGTCAGCCATTGCATCAGCCAGGGTTTAGAGCAGGGAAAGAAAACGAGGGGGAGGGGTTGCTGTTAAGATCAGTTACTTTCCAAGAGAAAAGGCAGGCCGGGCGGTGAGGCATTAATCCCATCCAGAGCACACTGGGAAGATTGCCCATTTTCCTGCTACCTGGACCGATGGGTCGCATCCCGTTAATTAGAGTGGATTTACCTCTTTGGAGGCTAATCCGCAAGTAGTAAACCACCTGTAATTACTCTGGCTGGGGAAAGATGCCACCTGGGGTCCCCCGCCCCAGTTAGCTCTGTCTGGAGAAGAGAAAGGATGAGCAAAAGGCCTTTCCAGCCTGTCTTACCTCACCGAAGCCTTCTGAGGAAGTGACGGGTACGCGGGGGAAAAGGGAGAGAGGCCCTTCCCATAGGCCCTGGCCACGCTGGTTAATGTTTAATGACCAGCCCTCCGAGAAAAAGAGGCCCTCATCTGTGCCCCTGACAGTCCCTAGTGTAAACGCTCCCTGGCCGGCTGGTTTCTAGCACTTGTGCGCGGGGAGCTGGGATGAGAGCATGACACCTCACCTGAGCCTGTGGCTCCTCGACAGCATCGAGACCGAAGAGCATAGACGAGTTAGAAATGGAAAGGGATCACAGTCTTGAGTGTTCATTGCCTTTTAGAATAATTTTGATTCATTGTAAGTTTACGGAGTGGCTGTGAGCACAGCCACAGCTCTCAGGATCCCTGAACACTTGAGTGGCGGCTCCTGAGCTTGTGTATCATCGCAGCCTCCACCGCTCCCTCGGTGAAGGGCTGGGGTCTCACGGGCGCCCAGACAGCGCCTGCTTCAGGGGCATTTCTTGAGCCTGGCTTAGCTGCCGCCCTGTCTCCTCCAGTCTCTGCCCCCGAGAGGTCGTGGAAGCCACCTGTGACGGGTGCGACTTTCAGTTTCGAGGTACCTGGTACAACCGCAGCAGAGCTGAAGCTCTGTGTGGTTTCCTGTACCAGCGAGGCTGCGCGCTGACCCGGGGCTGTGGCGGCACCTTTAACCCCCATGGCAGGAGTCAGAACTGCCCTCATGGTCCGCCATTTGGCTTGTCATATGGATGTGTGTAATAGGATACCTCACTCACCTGATAACTCGGTGGGATTCTAGAAGATTCTCTGAAAAACAGGGTTTCCCACCTTCAAGAAGTTTAGTAGACTGTGAGTGAGCCTGATAAATTATGCCAAATGTTGAGTGGGTGGAAAAGTGAAGGTATTTCCCCCTCCGAATGGCAGGTTTGCTGTTGACCTGCATTCAAGACAGTGCCCACCTCAAAGGCTTGACTCGTGTGTGTGTGTAGGGGGTGGGGAGAGAGGAGGAGAGGCAGATGCTTTGGTTGTCAGTTCCTTAGGACATTGACATTTATTCGATTTTTAAAAACCCTTTGTGATAGTCCAGGGGCACCTGGGATCACATCTCAAGAGCCTGTGGTTCTCAACTTCTGACCCTGGGCCTGGAGAGCTGTCCAGGCAAACAAGTCCCAGAGGATGAGGCCCCACCGAAGGGTCTGGGTTCCTCCTCCGCCTGCCCGTCTCCAGTGCCGACCATCCGTCAGTGGGCCTCACTCTGCCCTGTCTCCACAGTGCTGCTCACGGCCGTGAACTGCTACAGCGTGAAGGCTGCCACCCGGGTCCAGGATGCCTTCGCTGCTGCCAAACTCCTGGCGCTGGCCTTGATCATTCTGCTGGGCTTCATCCAGATCGGAAAGGGTGAGTGTGGCCTCTGGGCCTTCGCAGCTGTGCCAGGGTGGAGGGGTCCCCCGCCCTGAGTGCCCCCAGTCCCACCAGGTTCTCCGACACATCACCTGCCCTTGATAGAGGGTCCACCGCTCTGAATGCCCCCAGCCCTCGGGTCTGGCACACTAGCATGAAGGGCATCCTTTGAATTGGGCACTGTGAGCTGGGTCACGCCATCCCAGGAGGGGCACTGACATTGAGTTAGAGAGCCTGAACCTCACCCAACAAGTTAAATCTGCCCCAGAGCGGCAGGGAGGAACCGATTCACCCTGTCCCGCTGAACCCCACTCTCCTATGCACAGTCGGGGGCGGGGAGGGGTAGGATAGTGTCATGGGTGCCCAGCACAGTGTGAGTGTGGCAGAGAGGAGCTATTGCTAGTTTTGTCTCTTGAGGTAGACCTTGCACACAGGAAGCTACACGGATTGCAGGCAGCCTGCAGAGAAGCGGTGGCTGCCCCTCAGGGGGGATGTAGAACTGCATGGTCCCCAGTGGGGCGCTCGTGCCCATGGGTGCCCCCGGCATCCACCATGCTGACCTCTCCCCTGTGACCAGCACTTTGGTCTAGCACGTGTGGGCTTCCCATGCCATGGCGTTTGAGGGCATCTCTCTCTATTGGGCCTCATTCCTCAAAAACGTGCGGTGACTTGCTTTTCACTCTATGGACAAGGATGGGGTGGTCCTCCCGTTTCTGGCCGCTATGGAAAACACTGGCAGGTGCATTCCTGTAGGTGTCTTTCGGTGGACAGAATTACTTAACTGGTTTCTCCTGGGGTGGGTAGACAGCAGGCCAGTATGAGCATTGGTTTGGAGTCCACAGATGAGTGATCCACAGGGGCCGGTCCAAGGCAAGTTCTGGGAGCCCCTTCAGAGGGGGTCACCATGAGGACACACACTCAGCAAGGCCCCCACAGCCCTGTGCTAGGGAGGGGCAGATGGGCACCGGGGCCTCGCTCTACGTCTGAGTGCTGTTAGAAAGCTGGGGCCCCAAAGACCAGCCCTGTGACCCTCAGCTCACCCAGGCTTTGCTGAGCTCATGCAGCTGGTTCCGGCAGCAGCTCAGAGCTCTGTCAGCTCAGAGATCCAGCATTGGGGCCACTTCCAAAATCTCATGTAAGCACAGGGGCTGCACACCCCTCTCTCATCGACTCCTATCCAGTGTGAAGCCTTGTGCAGGCAGTGGCTGTCGTCTTGTCATAGCCCATCCTGTCTCACACTTCGGAGCTGGCTAGCTGTGAATTATGTGACCGGAAAACCCTTAAAGCTACCTGTGACACCCAGAAACCCATCCTTGTAGTTCTGGACTTTCCTCCCCCCTACTGGCCACATGGGGCACTGCACTGTACAGGAATCTGGGGTCCAGAGACCATGTGCAAGGGGCATGCTCATGATTCAGGAGAACTGTGTGCACGTGGAGCTGCAGTGGCTGCCACATTGCCTGCCCTCACTGGTCGTCTCTCGGGGTAGAGAGAAGCTCACAGTTCTGGTGTATGCTGACCTTGTCAAGTCGAAGCAAGAATCCTGTCCTGGCAGACCATCTTCTTAATTACATTAATATATGTGAAGCCTTTAGCATGGCACCTGGTACCTAGTAAGAACCAGCTCCCATCGCTACAATCGTTACCACCCTTGCAGGTAAAATTCCACCTGGTTTGCAGTCACTCACTATGGAGGGTAGCCCAGGTCACTGCTGCAGAAGCTGGACCTCTTGGGAGCATGCGTCTGACCAGGAAGTCCTGTGGGTGAGCCCACCAGGCAGGGCTGGGATGAGCCAGAATCTTCTTCTGCTGCTGCTGCTGCTGCTGCTGCTGCTGCTGCTCACAGTGGGAGCGCCCTCCTGGGGCTTCAGGTTCCGGCATCTCCCTAAAGACAAGACATTTCTTACCCTCTATTTTGGGGGTCTCGAGGACCCTGGCCAGGGCTGAGTAGCTCCCCAGCGTCATGGAGGGTGGTTAGGACTGATGGGTGGAAGAAAAATCCATCCTACGTCCAGCTAGGAGATGGGCCATTTGATAGAAGCCTTGCTTGTGTAGGCATTTACGTGGCTGGTATGATTAAATACAGACAGATGAGGAATGTGGGGGGAACCTGACTTTTGTAAAAACAAATTTCAGCAGAGAGAGCAAAGAGCTTTTGTTCAGCCTGAATACATAATGTGTTTATAATTCTGTTGCTGTTGCAAACATCCACCCCGCCACCGCATGCCCGGAGCAGTTCCTTTCTGAACTCAGGATACAGTGCAAGGTCTGCAAAAATTCCTATCTCCTGTTTTTCTTGAAGAGATTTACTTTGTTCCCAGATGAATGCCTTTTCTTTCCAGAAGACACATTGTTGAGAATGTTGACCCTTTCCTCCCACATTTGTCTGACTCTGTTTCCCCCTGGGGCAGTGAGCCCAGATCCCTGCTGTGCTCAGATTGGCTGCTGGCCATCCTGCCCCTGAAGAGTGCGACCTAGGCCCTCTCTTCCTTCACTCCACTCAGCAATAAAGCAGTCTTCCTACTTGGCCTGCCTGCACCCAGGTGGGTCCGGAGCTGCAGAAGGGGCTCGTGTGTGGGGCCCACCCCACTCAGGTTCAAGTCCAGCTGTTTGTTAGTCTCAGGCCTCTGTTGGCCTTGTTTCCTCATTGCCATAAGACCCGTGAGCCGTCCTGCCCTCCTTCTTCACCAGAACCTTCTGAGGCTCTGAGTGTGGCTCGGTGCAGAGACCCAATGAGGATATGGCCCTACCGTTCAAACCTCACTCCGTTCGGGGACATCAGACGCACGAGAACAGGAAAACAGCAGATGGGCTGATGGGGACAAGAGGAGGCTCTCCTGAGACTGTGGCGGGTGAAGGCACAGCATGAACAAGGAGACTGCTCTTCGGGGCCCCGGGGCTGGGATCGTGGGTGTGGGAGGAGCTGGGGCTGCCCCTGTGGCTGGAGGTGGGGCCCCATGGCGCCGTGTAAGTGTGCCTGCGTGTGCCATCTGAAGTGTCTGGATTCACTCCCAGCCTTTTCAGAAGGGGAAACATTTCACAGGGGCTTGGAATGAGGAGGCCACTGAGAGAAGCAGGTGGACAGGGTAGGCAGAGGGCACTTTTCTTTTTCTTTTTTTTCTTTTTTTTTTTTTTAATATATTTTATTGATTTTTACAGAGAAGAAGGGAGAGAGATAGAGAGTTAGAAACATTGATGAGAGTCATCGATCAGCTGCCTCCTGCACACCCCCCACTGGGGATATGCCCGCAACCAAAGTACATGCCCTTGACCGGAATCGAACCCGGGACCTTTCAGTCCCCAAGCCGACGCTCTATCCATTGAGCCAAACCGGTTTTGGCCAGAGGGCACTTTTCAGCTCAGTATCTACCTGCCAGCCACCTCCCCCTGCTTTTGCCCTTTTCTTTTGTTTGTCAGCCTCTTGCCTGTGACACCCTACAAGGTCCACAGCCCCACGATCAGGCCATCCCCAAAGTGGAGCAGTTTTTCCAAGGCTGGAGGGTGAGAGTGGAGTGCGGAAGGCTCATCTCTCATGCCCAGGTCCCTTCTGGAGGACACACAATGGAACCCTTGTGGGTTTGCTCGGGCTGTGGCATCCGGTGGGAGAACAACTCGTGTCTCCTTGAGCAGTTACACAACAGATTGCATAGTTGGGCAGATAAAAGGTTCCACAAAAACGCTTTCTTTCCCTCCCACGTTGTGTCTGAGCAGGATGCCCTCCGCTAGGAAGTCGCGGGAGGAGATGTGTCCCCTTCACCAGGGCCTGGCCTCCAGCCTCCCCGAGCTCGCCCAGCCACTAGGACATCGTCCCCAAGGGCCTGGTGTGGTCAGCACCTGGAATGGAGGCACTTAGGTCCTGAGCTGATTGTCTCCTGTGTCCAGTACTGTCCCAGAGTTACTGGGGGGTGGGAGGTCGAGAAAGCACAGGAGATGCTGCTGGCTAGGAGCAGCCTTGCGGTAGGGAAGGCCCAGGCAGGCCTGTGAATGACAGCGTGCTGCTCCCAGGGCTAGAGACTGGTCTTTGAGTCATTTTACAGTTTGCACTTGGATCTTAGGTTATTGGGTCGGGGCTCAGAGAAGCAGTAGCCTGTCCAGTCCCACACAGCAGTGTCAGCGACCCCACATGGCTGTATTGGTGCGAACCGTGTGCGGGGATGTGAGCTCCCTCGGGAGAAGGCCCCCTCTGTCCCACCCAAGAGCGCGGTGTGGGGCTTCACTGGGAGATGGTGGGAAAGGCCCGTGCTGAGAGGCCAGGCTGGGAGGAGACGCGGGTCCTGGGAGGGTCCGGGGACAGGGCCCCCCCCCTCGGCAGATCCCTTTGTTTACTGGATCCTCAGTTTCCTAACCTGAAATGGCAACACTAGCAACAGCAGCCCCAGGACACCTGGGACCATCTCTCTCTCTTTTTTTTTTTAATATATATTTTATTGATTTTTTTACAGAGAGGAAAGGAGAAGGATAGATAGTTAGAAACATCGATGAGAGAGAATCCCCTACTGGGGTTGTGCCCGCAGCCAAGGTACATGCCCTTGACCGGAATCGAACCCAGGACCTTCTGGTCCACAGGCCGACGCTCTATCCACTGAGTCAAACTGGCTTTGACGGGCCATCTCTTACTGTTATGAAATGTTGCCAGGCACCTCAGGGCCAGTGAAGGGCTGTCCTCCCTTGCAGGGAGGGGATCAGCATAGCAAGTGCTCCCAGGTCCCCCCAGTGACAGAATCCATCTTGGGGATCAAGGTCACTCTGAGACTGTGGACACTGTAACAGCGGTAGGGTGAAGGGTTAGGGTTCTGTTCTCTGCACCATCCCTGTGCCCCAGGAGACAGGGATGGGGCCTCAAGAGACCCCTCCCCACCATGGGCCAGTCTGCCCCTCTGAAGTGCCCACAGCGGAGGTCATATGGTAGATATGGGAGCCCCCACCACCTCCAGCCACCGTGAGGGCACTTGTGGCAGTGAAGCCACGATGGAGGGAGGGTTGGTTGCTTTTCCTGT